TCAAAGGCCAAACTCAGGTGTCATTTCTTAGGTATCATCCACCTTGTTTTGGAGACAGAGTCTCCCACTGTCCAGGAACTCACTAAACAGCCAAGTTTGCTGGCCAATGAGCCCCAGGAACCTATGTCTCAGCTTCCCCAGCACACTCCCTTTTTTTTTTTTTTTTGGTTCTGGGTATTTAACTCGTGTCCTCATGCTTGTAGCAAGCACTATCCTGGCTGATCATCCCCTTATCTTGTTTAATGTCACTGAGCTTGATGAGGTTTTGGTCAGAATTACAATGACAAATGATGACAACATACAAGCCAGTCTTATAGTATTTTCCTTTTGATGAAAGAGTTGAGCATGTTCCCACTGAGACGTAGTGGCTCTGCAGCTGTTTTGAGCTGTGCAGTTATTCCACTCTGTTGTCTTGGGGTGTGTCCTGCTTTCTGGAGTCTGCAGATATGTGGCAGGGAATTTATTAAAGGAATTGGTTTGTGATGTCTGGGGAGCCTGTGACATCCCATGTGTGCCATGTGTAGACTTGGAATCATGTAATCACATTCCTGAGAATGTGGGGAGCCTGAGGTGTGACCTGTGCTCCTGAGCCAAAGATTGGCTGCATCTCTGGAGTAAGGTCCAGAATTCCAGATGCAGAAATCTGAAGTCCGAATGAGGGCGAGACATGTATGCACCATCTGAAGCCAGAGCCAGGGTGTGGCCAGTCACCTTCCCTGTGTGGGCTCTGCTCCATCCAGGCTTGCCCAAGGATTGTTGATGGGCCCTTGTCAGGGGGAGGCAGATCTGCTGCAAATTATCACAGGTCAAATGTTGGTTTCTTCCTGAGAACACTCTCAGGCCACCCAGGAAAAATCAACCCAGTCATGTGGGTATTCCCCAGCCCAGTCAAACCCAAACCCCAATCACCCATCACAGGAGGACATCTGAGGAGTGTGCTGGGTGCTCGCAATTCCCTCACTCCATTCCCTCATCTCACGATGCTGGTATGTCTTCATCGGTGATGTGATCTCACTAATTGGTGGTTCAGGTGATGCCATCTTTATCTTCAAAGTCAATGATTTTAGAGCCACCCCTTACAGTCTGGTGAGATGACCTCTTAGGTCAGTGGTTTCCCTTCAGCTTTATGATTGTATTCTAGCTTACTGTTCCATGCCTCTCCCTTAAGGACTCCAATCACAGACTGCTAGGTGTCCCCATGCCCCAGCTGTGTCATGTGACTCTCCCTTTAGCTTCAGTCTCTCGAATCTTTTCAGTCCTCCTTCCGTTGGGGAAAGTTTTACTGTGCCTGAGGTGACTGCATTTTTCCCCTTCAGTTTTTCTGCTTTGAGACTGTTTTCGTATCCCTGATGGCTTGTTTACTTAGGGGAAGTGCTCTACTTACTTTTTCTGTTGCTGTGACAGAATCCTATCACCAAAAGCAACTTTAGGGAAGAATTTATTTCAGCTTACACTTCTAGATGATAACCCATGACTGAGGGAAGAAACTCAAGAAAGGAACCTGATGCAGAAACCAGCTAAGAATGCCCTTTAAGTTGCTGCCTGGCTTGACTCCTCTCCCAGCTAGCTTTCTTATTCAGTCCAGGACCACAGGCTTAGGAATGGTGCTACCCACAGTGGGCTGGACCCTCCCATATCAATCATCAATCAATATAGTCTCTCACAGACATGGCCACCAGCAAGTCTGACCTAGGCAATTCCTCTTCTAGGTGATTCTAGGTTGTGGCACACTGTTAATAAAAACCAGCACAGGTAGGTAGTCTTATAGTTACCTTCTGCTTCTGTGTGCATCTGGAGTATGTACATGTTTATGGGGTCCAGAGATCAACATTCAGGGTCTTCCTCCACTGTTCTCGATCTTACTCTTTCAGACAGAATCTCTCATTGAACATAGAGCTCACTGATTTGGCCAGGCTAGCTGGCCTGAGTCCTAGAGGTCCTCTTGTCTCTGTCCTTTCCCCTGCAATGCTGGGCAGATGAGTCCCCAAGCCCAGCTTTCACATGGTTGCTGGGGATTTGAACTCGGGTCCAATGTGTTTGTGTACTGAGCACTTTGCCCAGCTCCGTGCCTTTAACTTTTGCACATTTGTGTCCCCGTGTTTCTTTGGGTTTGTGACCAGGCAATGTGTGCAATGCTCTAATAAAACTTGCTTATGGAGCTGACTCTCCATCTTTACAGCCTCCTGATGGGGGCTGTTTCTCAGGGTCTGTGGTACTGGCTGAGGTCACCGGCATTATCCCACTGAGTCCTCTGACTGTATTGTGCTGTGGGGTTCATCCTGACTTTCTGGCCTCAGGGGACTGTCTTCCCACAGACCTGTGATATTTGTGGCTTCTGCTTTCCCAACAGCCAAGCTGTATATATAGAGCTGCCTGTTTTCTCCAGAGTAGTTCTCAAAGGCTATGGGGAAACTCCAAGTATGGAATCTCTGATGGTAACCTGTGATAACTGCAGTGAGGCTGTCTTTAGCATTTTCGTAGGATGTCTCTGGCTTTCAGATTGGCTTTGTATTTTATTTTTGAGACAAAATCTTAGAATGTAGCCCTGGAACTTACTATATTGCCCAGGCTGGCCTTGAACCTGTGGCAATTTTCTTTCCTTGACCTCTCAAGTGCTGAGATTACAGGAATGCACAGCTGTGTTTGGCCTTGGCTTGTCTTTTTGAGATACTTGCTACTGTAGCCCAGGCTAGCCCTGAATTCAGGGCAATGCTCCTGCCTCAGCCTCTTGAGTTCCAGAATTACAAGCTTGTGCCACCATACCTCGCTATCTTTCCAATTTAAATGGGAGTTTTTGTCCCCATAACCCTGGTCATATTACTTTATCGGGGATAGAGGGAAGGAAAACTTTCTCTAAACGCCTTCTAGGCATGAAACTACACTAGAGGTGAAGAAGGTGACCGTCACAGTACATGATGTCTTGCTGGCGAGGAGCGCCGTTTTGGAGTTAGCGGCTTTATGACATGGCCCAAGGAGAGCAGAAAGAGATGGGTCTAACTTGACCTTCAGGGGTACCTCACAGCTCCATGTAAGACTGGCCATCCCAGAGGGCCCAGGAAGTCTCCAGAGAGAAAGGGCTTGTAGGATCATAGGGCCATGCAGAGTTCTAGGAAGGAGTGTGTAGGCGGCACCAGAGCTGTTGAAGCCAGCAGGTAAGGGCCACATACTTCTGGGGCTGAGTGGCTGGACCCATACACAGCCTGCAGGGATCAGATAGTCAAAGGAACAAATCCCGACCCCAGGTCTTCTATGTCTCCCTAGCCAGGCTTCACACTATCAAAAGGGTGGCTGGCAGTGGCTGGGCACACTGTCAATGGTGACAGCACAATGAAGGCCACATTCTGAGCCCAGCTGCTAGTGGTATTGACCCAACATCTCCATCCCCCAATGTCAGCTCATTTTCAGAGGCATTTTTGTCTAGTCCGGCTCCAGATACAGCCTGTCTCCAAGGCTAGCACAGCTTCAGGAAGCCTCATCTGTAGTAGCTCTTCCAGAGACCCATAGGCTGCAGCCTGAAGGGATCAGGTCTACTCTGGGAGAGGACATGGATGGCCTGGAGCAGATACACACACAACCATGATCATGGGGAACGTGGGCTGCACAGACCATGGCTCACTTCCATGTGGAGGAGTGTGGTGGTTTAAAGGGAGACCAGCAGAGGGTTCTCTGGGAATGTCCAACAGGGAATTTGACCTTCATTGGAGGTTAGGTGTATTATGTAAAGACAGCCTGGACCAGGAAATGAGAACCTACACAAAACAGCATCACACATCACATTAACCAATATGGAGGATGGGCAGAGTCTGCCTTAGGTCATGATCCCTCTTAAATATCTCAGGATTGAGCTACCGGAGTTTTTCTTACTCTTTTCCACATATGTTGCTCTCAGTCCCGGTACCTCCCTCTGTAGCTCAGAGAGAGCCCCCAAGCCCCAGTGTTTGCAGAAACAGACAGGACAGACATCGCTCAACCCTCCTGGCCCCTCATTCAAGTCTCCCAGCAGCACCCTCAATTGGAGTTAGTCAGGGGTATTTGGGGAAGCTGTGTCCAGGACAAGCCTGGTCATCTGCAGACCAGAATGGAATGATCAAAAACAGTGAGACCCGAGCGAGCTACAGTACTTATGGGATCTCCCACAGGACCCAGGCTGGGCTTTCCTCACAGTGCTGATGGCAGTCAGCCCCCTCCCTCACAGCTCAAGTGCAAACCCTGACGCTTAACCCCTCAGAAGGCTCCGCTCCGAAGTCTTTACAATGTGCTAGAGCGCATGCTCTACACCAGGCTGCTGGGGACACCGATGGCACATTGAGGTGAGCTTTATTTTTACACTACTATACAACTCACTCAGGAGCTTCAAAAAATACAAACCCACAACTTTACTATTGTTCCTGGAAAGCACTTTGTGATGTTATCAGGTGCCTTCTGCCGGCCACCAGTTCCATAGATGACCAGGATAACTTGTGTCATTAGTGCAGGCCCCCAGTGTGTCCTGATAGTGGTAAGCAGAGGTGTAGACACTGAGGGGCTCTGCCTCTTCTTGTCTCCCCTCTCCTCAGACAAGGACCACAGTGACTCTGTATGCCAGACAATATGGTACAGCGGTATGCAAGCAGCTTGCGCTTCCAAGCTAGCTCTGTGGTGTGACTCGCAGGCCCAGACACATCCTCTGAGGACATTTCCCTGTCTCTAAAACAACACAGAATCACAAGGTCTGGTTACTCTGACCCAATAACCCATGGAGTTGGTATCCCAGAGAAAGACTGAACATTATCTTCAGCATGTCTCCAGGACACATGGAGGGTAGCAGAGAGGAGCCCAGAGCCCTGGCTAGCCAAGGAAGTGCAGGAGACTAGAGAGGGAGGCCTTGCCTCACCAGATAAACTGGGTCTTCCTTCAGGTTTGTTCCTGAATGGTGTCCCTTCAAAAAGAGAGTATCTAATGGCCATGTCTCTTTTTCAGAACAAACTCAAGTTCATGGTTAACTTACCACTGGCTGGGAAGATGGTGAAAAAAGCCGACAATATTTAATGTTACCACTCCAACTGTTTGCCAACAGTAACACTGATGTATTTTGCAAATGTACAATACAGAGAGCACAGCCCCACAGGACCAGTGCCAGGTGACATGCAGCGCAGTTCCCCTTCCTCTCCAGACAGTGTCCTTCAACAGAGGACAGACAGTACTCAGGGCCTAAGGAAAGCAAGGGACTTGGGGCACTGTGAAGCAGGCAGCTCCTCATCAGCTGGCCCCAGCCAGATACACTCTGCTTATCAGTTGTCTTTCTGTGCAGATGACAAGAGAAGGATGAGCCATGCCGACAGGGGATGGGGTGGGCAGGCTGAGTCACTGGGAGACAGAAGGCTGACCTCCACGTGGCTGGCGGGATTTGCTCTCTGCAGAGATACAAAGTGCTCAGTTTGCAGATCTGCTGGTACGTGACCTCGACGATGACGACAGGACAGGGATGAGAGGAGGGAAATGGTTGGCCCCAGCAAGCCAGCAGGGTAGCGATGGGCCAGACTGGGCTCATGATCTCTTGTGGTTGGGCTGGCCAGCTGGCTCACAAGGTCCTAGACGCAGCCCACGGTCAGGCGGCAGCTCCTTCCTTTCTGAAAGGGACTCCGCGCAGGCAGAGGCCACAGGCAGTCCTCAGGTCCTAGGCTTAGGAGCACAGCACTGGAGGCTGCGGTGGCTGGAAGGGCTGAAACTGTAAAGTACAGCCCGTGGGTGACTCAGGCACAGGAACATGGGCAGCATGTGGCCCCAGGGGAAGTGCATGGTGTCACACATGGAAGCAACAAGAACACAGCTGGGGCATGTGGGGCCTGGCAGCTCACTGGACCATGACAGGCAGTGGGGGCTTCACCTGGCCAGGGCCAAGCACTCATTGGCTAGGCACAGTGATGACACAGGGGTCACGAGCACATGGCTGCATGGAATTACAGTGATTGCTGTTGCCACTCAGAACACAACACGGGACACACACACCGCCCTGGGCCGCCCAGCGCTCACGCCACCCGCCTGCTGGGGCTGGGAACTGGATGAGGGAGTTATGGCATTGGGTAGACGAAGATGAGTGGTCATAGTGTTGGGGATGGTCCCTCTGCCATGTGGGCCCTTGGAGGATCGTGGGGGAGGGTGAGCATGGCTCACCATGTAGAGGGAAGGAATGTAGAGCATGGGAGTTCAAAGTTATGGCAGCCAGTATAAAGTGTCTAGGGATCTGTGGGGCTGAGGTCCTGAGACAGTCAGCTCTAGACTGGTTGCCCCAAGTACTAGGATAGAGGTGACTGCACTTTGCCTAGTTGCTTACTGGAGATAACAGCAGTTATAATACTGATTACTTAGAATAGTACTCTGTTAATAAAATAGGGGTCTATACAGAGCAGAGTGGGGTATTAGACAGTCAGGTGCTGTGTTACTTGGCACAGTGAGTTATGAGCGTGTAAGGTTTCAGCCAGGCTAGAGGGGATTTCTTCATATGAAAATATGGAAGGACCTGGGTTTCTTCTAGCAGGGTTTTTGGTCTACTCACACATTTATCTAGATTGACTTCCTGTCACTTAAGTGGCAGTCCTTAGGAGGTCCCTAGTTCTAGCTTTGTGGATGAAATGCTTATCTCCCACACACAAACACTACCTATACAGTATGTATATATATATATTTATATATTTATATATTTATATTATATAAAGTTTACTTACGTATTTTCATCACCCATATCAGGCCTACTTATTATTATTATTATTATTATTATTTTTGACCACTGCCAATAACAGAACAATAACACAGCCGGTCTGGGGTTGGTTCTGTTGTATCTGTCTTTTGTTAAGTTGGGTTTTCAGATGTGTGTGGAGTGAGGGCTGAGGGCTGACAGGGTGAGAGACAATTCCACTTCTCCTTGGTCAGCGCTGTGTCAAGGCCAATGGTGGCTGAGGCCCAGCCTCGGGCCGAGTGGGAACTCTACTCTGTGGAAGGCGAGCCCATGGGTCCACTCAGGCTATGGATTAGAGGGAGTGGAGACAGTGGTGCCTTGGGCTGACCTGAGGCTGGTGCCTGGTAGGCCCT